ATTTGGCAAATCTTTTGACCAGTAGAGACCTTTAGCTAACCAATAAACAAAGAGAGGATTTAGTGCACTCTTTATTTGTCAAGTGGTGAAGACGTTTCATTCTCACATTATATAATTTCATTTTGTGATGTTACTGTGATGTGGGACCGAGATTCAATTTTGACATGAAGCGAATTATATGAACTTTGTGTTGTAATGCGAGTAAGGGGGTTTCGGGGGGGGGGGGGAAGCCTAATTAATGTGTACTTTAAAAGCAATGTTTTAAAAGGCGGGGCGTGAGGCGAGGCGTTTTATCTCTGACGAGCGAGACGTAAGCCCTGAGACATAGGGCGTAAAGTCCCACGGATCTTTCATTTTACTAATTTCAAGAATTTATAAAATAAAAATAATTATAAAAATACATTAAAATCACAAAATTATACAAATAATATATTTAAAATATTAATAAATTATGATTCAACTATGAATAATATGAAAAGTATGACATATATATAAATATGCAAATAGTCTGCAATGTCGTTACAACTCAAACATCAAAAGTAATGTATTCCATACGAAATCTTATATATATCTCTTAAGGAGTAATGAATCTTGAAAGAATTTTGATATTATAATTTGATATTTTTCATAAAATACTCCTTTTATTTAATATACTTTCTATATTTGAAAGAGAATTTATATAAAAACATAATTCATAATTTAAATATGATTCTCAAGCATCATTCATTTTTAAGTTTCAACAAGTTAATAAAGTGACACATAATTCACCATACAATACCATGATAACTAATTATTTGTACAAGTTACTAGCTAATAGTGAGCTATTAAATTAATAAGTATTGTATCTCGTAAACGTGAGAAAAAAATAGAAAAATAATTATAAAAAAATCATGGACTATTATATAGTAAAGACATAACAATAGTTAATAAATAAATACCTTTCAAATGAAAGATTTATTTAAAATTAGCTATCATAGCAGTATTAGTGGATAACGTGCAATAATTTTTATTTTAATTATGACAATACTCCCAACTTAATAATTTATACTTAGGAAAAAAGTAATTTTGAGTAGTCAACGATTTATTAAGAAAATTTATAGATTTACAAGGTTAGTTATATACAATTGCATAAAGTTCTATTAGGCGAGCCCAGTACGATGGGCGTTGGGCGTGTCCGGGGCGTAAGCCCCGATGACCGAGGCGTAAGTCTCACGAAACTAAGCCCCACACATAAGCCCAGGGGCATTTTACGAGTGCTCCGCCCCGGGGCGAGTCCCGGGCGAGTCCCAATTCTGCCTTTGAAAACAGAGCTTTAAAGAAAGATCACACATCTTTATTGAATTTTTAAGTTTAGAGAAAGACTAATTAAAATGGTTATGAGGCAGTCTTCACATCAGCCACCTGTTTGATAAAATTCTTGAAAAAAAAAATTCAACGATAAAAATCTTTAAGTAATTGGTTCAACTATTTTCTAATTTTCCGTTAATCTAAAATTATACTACTATACAATAATAATATTCCAGCACTATGAAGTTCCTTAGACAATAGGAAATCAAGCTCCATTTATATTATAAGATAATAATTCCAGTGCATCCATCATTTCAAAGCGGAAGTACAACACTTTGAGGAAAACATAAGCACTTCCATAATCAAGATGCCCGATCATTTAAACTAAATTATTGTTTCTAATAAGCAAAATGATTTATTATGCATTACTACATGAACAACCAAATCAAAGTTCATTCATTCATTACTTGATAAAAGTAATACCACCCTAAATTAAAGATCTCTCTATTCCCAAATACCAACTTCAATAAATCCATCTTCAGTAGCACAGCCTCTAAACATTCCATTACAATTAAACCCATAGGCCACTTCTCCTTTATTTGACACAGCAATAAGCCCAGCAAAACCTTTATCTAGTCTTTTCTTAATAACATAGTCCACTGCATCTTGTAGGCCCAATTCCTTGTATTCCATAACAGCTGCCACGTCACGTGCTAGGGTTCCACGTATGATGGCCTCTCCTTCACCTGTACAAGAGACCCCACAAAGTTCACCTGCGTAGGTCCCAGCACCAATCAGCGGCGAGTCGCCGATACGACCGGTCATTTTGTTCATCAGACCACCGGTTGATGTGGCGGCGGCGCACCTACCTTGGCTGTCCACCACCACACATCCAACTGTCTCCGGCGCGTATACGCTTATTGGTAGCCCATTCATGTGAATTGGGCTCTCCACAGCCGCCGCACAGGATTCCAATCCCACGGCTGGAATTCTGTAATCGTACTGTTTCACAAAAATAAATAGAACATCGAAATGGTTGTTAAACTTTCATTTTACGTTACATTTTATAGGTAACGTATAAATGTGTGACGTACCAGAATGGTATTGGCCTCTTTCGCTAGTTTCAGCATTCCGACGTTGTCTTCGGTGATGAAATAATCATTGTCCACCATCTCCACACCCTATAAAAGAGTTTAACTTCATAATTAGATTAAATATTAAAGTTTCGTGGATAAAACATATACTGGGTTTGGAATTGATTAATGTTTTTAGGCCAATGTGTTTTATTATCAGTTTACCTGTTGTTTGGCGAATTCTTCGGCGCCGGAGAAAGCGAGGTAGGAATGAGGGGACTTTTCCATGACGAGGCGAGCAAGAGAGATTGGGTTTTTCACGGTGGTGATACCCGAAACGGCACCGCATCGTCTCCCGTCGCCGTCCATGATGCTCGCCTCCATTTCCACTGTTCCATTCGCGGTTAACGCTGATCCACGGCCTGAATTGAATATAGGATCGGTTTCCAGTTCCCTCACCTGTGAATTACCGGAATCAGAAATGCCAGTTTATTTAGACAAACAAAAAGGACAGAGAAAAAGAGAAAAGAGAAAAGACAAAAGGAGAATTTAATATTCATAACTGCCTCAAAGTTATAAATCAGGTGCATGCAATAAGAAGAAGACAGCACAAAAACCTGAAGATGCCATGCAAAAAAAAAAAAAAGCTTTTGGGTTTTTTCTAAGATCCAGTTTCTTAAATGTAACAACTTTAACAAGCTTTGTTTCTGGGGAAAAGCATGAAATCAATCCCCCCATTTTCTTTCATTTTCATCTCCAATAATCAAGGAAGCCATCAAATCAAATGTAAATCAATTGTTTTTGTTCTGGTAATAATGTAAATCAATTTTTCACCCTAGGTCAAGTTTAAAAAGAAATGAGAAAAACGTACGACGAGTTCAACGACATCAATGGCAGGAAGAGAAGAGCGAAGAGCAGAGATGCCAATGTTAAGGCAGTGAGTTATGAGTTGTTTGGCTTCTTCTTGACGCTCCGCTGGGAGATTTGGGTCCACACCAGCGCCGCCGTGCACCGCTATAGCCCAACCACCCATTTTTTCACTCTTCTCTTCTTTCTTAAAATCTCTCTCTCTTTTTGCTTTTGTGGTTATGAAATGGTGTTTTCCCTTCGCTTCTATATATAACACCCAAATCCTAGTTGGGCTCTTCCTGTGTTTTTTTTTTTTTTTTACCTTTGCGGAATTGAGATGCTACAATGAACCAAATTGTGTTGAATTTATTTTGGGTTCCGACAACTCCCCACTTGTGACGCTGTCATGCACGTGTATTTTTTCACGAGATTTTTAAGGCGTGTTTTAAGAAATTCCGATTTTTACTTTTTCTTTCCTCACGTGCATTTCCTATTACTTGGGCGTTACCTCACGTGACATACAAAATCTTGAGAAAACAGAAAGGGTTTTATATTGTTTCTAAAATAAGCCGGAAAAACTTGTATAGGTATTTTGACTAGGACTCATCTTGTTCCAATTGTAATCGTAAATTACATGAACGTTTTTGCCGTTTCTTGCACTCGACATATACTTGTTTCTTTGTATCATCAATAAGTATAAATAAGTTCATGTCCTATTATAATTAAGAACTCATGCGATTAATTATTTCATCTTTTATCAATAGAATTATTCACTCGAAATTTAAAAAATTTAATAATTTATTGTGAAAATAAGTGTTGTGGGATTTGACTCTTTCTACAACAATGAAAGGTTCAAAATTTTGAAAAATTTATCTTATTTACGAATTAATTCAACTTTAATATAAACATAACAGAAGTAACATTAAGCTTTATGTTTAATAAAATGGATATCTCAAGTGGGATGGATCGAGTAACTTAATAATATTCTGAACTGGGAAATTGGAACCTAGACTTTTTTTCTGAATGTGATTTTTTTTTTTTTTTTAGGGAGGGGGGGGGGGGGTTGTGGAGGAGTTGTGTGTGACCCAAGAACAATTTGCAATTTTATGTAATGTGACCCAAATTTTTATGTACTTAAAATGTGTTTCTTATTGTTAGTATTCTGCGTACATTGTATTCAGTGACTAACGGGAAGTGACATTCGTCTCATATTATGTGTCGTGTTTCTCTTTTATACGTCTATTAAGAAATATTAATTAGGAAAGAAATTAGACTATTATACCCCTAATTATGTCTTAAGATATAATCTCTCTTCATTGAATATTATTCTATTTAGGTGTTATCTCTATCTTCAAGAACAATTATTAGTAAGGGTAAAAAAAATCAATCAATTTTGTCTTGAACTTCTAAAATGACAAATAATTTGAGACAAATATTTTTAGTAACCATGACTATTAATATGAGACGGTGGGAGTACTAGTGTAAACTGTACACAACTTTTCTGGAAATTATTTTAAGATTTTCTACTTAAGAAATTCTCTATTTTTATCTCATTATAGAAATGCCATGATCTAAAAATTATCTACTTTATGAAGAATCTTTATTGGAATCGGTGAATCTGGTTGTATTCATTCTGCTACTCCCAGCAGATTCGCTTAGTAAGATATTGCTAAAAAAAACTATCAACAGTTTGCATTTGGATTCCTAGTATTGATTGGTTAAAAAAAAGTATTGAATCTTTTTTTGAGTCTCGAGATATGAAAATACAAAGTATTTTATATCCTGTCCAAGTACGGTGTAAAATGAAATTCGTACTATATAAAATTGTAATGCTTTGATACTTAATTACTTCTATTCGTGCAAAAATTAAGATGAAAATATTATTTATCTTGTTTGGTGAGCACTTAATTTGTCCCCTTTAGGATTGTTTAATGGCCAAAAGGACCAAGCTCGAATATGTGTAACACGAATTTAGATTTAAGTAATCTCCCAATCACTCTAATTATATTTTTCCTTTTTACTCAATTTAACTTTATGGCGAAAAAAATAATATTTGAACTGTGATGTGTTGAGTTTGGGGGTAATTGATAAACCATAATCGGCAGAAGAGAATTTGGAGTTGAATGTCTTAGAGAGAGAAATATTGGAAGGAAGAAATAAAGTGAAAATTTTCTCTTGTATATCTATACAGTGTATTCATATACATATATCGATGATGTATCAGCTAACTAACAACCTAAACTAACTGACTAACTACATAATTGATTCTAGAAGATTCTACACAGCTATATACATCTTCACTATAATTAAAAATTGTCTCAACTTACTTAAAATTCTATTTATTTTTAATATACTTTATACATCATACTACCGTGGTCATATGGTACCTTGCATGGTACTAGTCCATAATTATCGGGTATGATCGCTCGAGCCGTATTTTATCCAAAATCGGCCACCTTCAACGAAACTCGTTTTCTTTAATTCGTGCACTCTTTATCCTTCATGACACTTACTTATCGCTTGTTATAAATAGCATAAATACGTTAACCTCCAGATAATCTCATCCCCGAGCTTTCATCAATTTACTTATGGCGTATTTTTACATACGAAAATATGGGGTGTAACAGATACCGACATAAAGTTGTATTGAAAATCAGGTAAAAACAACGCATCTTTGATTTCCCCTGTTCCTGTGACTCTACAATTCCCAATATGTGTCATCTGTACCACTTCCCCATTTGGTAGGTTAAAGTTCTTAGTGTCCTTAGTGTTAACTGCTTTAACATTATTCAACAATCTTAGATCTGCAACCATGTGATTGGTTGCTCCCGTGTCTATTATCCAGTGTGTCTTTGCTACATCAACAAGAAATGAATAAGCATTACCTGCCATGTTGGCTGTATTTTCCTATTGTGATTCTCGATTGATATTCAGACTCAGCATCTTCATGATCTAATCATACTGCTCTGTGGTCAATTGTGGTGCTCTGGCCATTTCTCCTTTGTTAAATCCCTCATGTTGACCAATGCCTCCTGTATTTTCAGCAGTTACATTGGGGTGATTGTTTTCAGCACAAGAGTTATATGCATTGTTCATCTTCTTCTTCCCTTTGAAACCTGCAGGATATCCAATAATTTTGTAGCATTCTTCCTTCGTATGACCTTTCATCTTACAATAGTCACAATGCGCATACCGATTTCTTTTGGTCTTTGATAGTTTTGGTGCATATCACCCTTACCGGCCAAAAGAGCTGCAGAATCACTTGCATTCCCTGCTGTCATGATACTGGCCATTGATCTTTGGCTTTCCCTCTCAACCAGCATTGAATATTCCTTATTAATGTTTGGTGTAGGGCTAGTCATCAGGATTTGGCTTCTAGCTTGTTCGTAGGTTTCATTCAAGCCCATCAAAAACTGTAAGACCTTCTATTTTTTCATAAATTCAATGAAATTTTTAGACTTGGCGCAATCATATGGAGGTGGCACCATGTTGTCAAACTCATCCCAGAGATTATGAAGTTTGGAGAAATACACTGTCACGCTATCAATTCCTTGAGTAATTGTAGTTATTGCCTTATATAGCTGATACACTCGTGAAATGTTCACCTTATCAAATGGTTCCCTCAAATCTTCCCAAAAAACTCTAGCGTTCTTCGCATACACAATCCCTGTTATCAATTCCTTCTATACTTAGCTCATGATCCATCCTAAAACGATGGCGTTACATCGGTCCCACTGATGACCTAGTTATGCATCAAAATCCCCTTATTTAGAGTCCCATCGACTAACCCTAGTTTGTTCTTCCCGAGCAGCTGAATCTCCATTGCTCGACTCCAGGTGATGTAATTGTCAGAACCAGTCAGTTGGATCAATACTATCGGAGCCCCCGTCTTGTCTGAAGGATGAAAGAACAGTGGATGCTTGTGGTCCAAATCTGTCTTTTCCGCCATTGTTGAATCTCAATTTTGCAACTCACATATGAATTGATCTCATTACTAAAAACGGCCAATTTCCGACGGAAAAAAGTAGTCGAAAATTTCCCACGGAATCGGTCGGAAAATACATAAAAATTTATTTTTCAATTTTTAATAATAGTTACGACTAATATTCCGTCGGAAATAATTTTTTAAAAAAAATAGCGACCGATTCGGTCGAAAATTTGTAGTGAAACGAGGTTGACTGCTTTGACCAAAATACCGACCGAATCAGTCGGAAAGGTTTTTTAAAAACTCTACCAGCGAACATCTTTCTTTTCCTTTCCCTCTTTTCTTCCTTCTCTCTTCTCTCTCTCTCTCACTCAAACTTCCCCCACCTAAACCCGCCGCTGCCACCAACCAGTGGCACTCGCCGGCGCCGCTGAAGCTCCGTCAAGTCTCTCCACTGCCAGGTAAGTTTCCCTTACCAAATCCCTAACTTCTAACTTTCGTTTTTGTTCTGTTTGATTGGGGAAATGAAAGTTGCTTAATGATATAATTTTTGAGCTTGTCATCTTCATGAGGCGACTATAATCCCTTCTTGTGCTTTTACTTTATCTTGTCTACTAATTTGCACCCCATTTTTGTATTACAAATATGTAGTGAAAGCAAAAGATAAATAATTTTTTTTATCTTAATTTCTTAATTTCTTAAAAACAACTTCATAGGTCCTAATATAAGCAAGTGGGTAATAAAAAAAATTGAGCACTTTTAAAAGAAGTGAGTTTGGTTATAGTTTCTACTGCCAAATTGTTGGGTCACTTAGTTTGGTCTGTTTGCTCTCAAAAGAAAAGCTGAAAAAAGAGCAAACACTTAACGTGCACTCTTGGCACTTCCTTTTGATATTTTTGTTTCTTTTTAGTTTATTCACAAAATCATAAACTTTACTATTTTCGGTGAAGGAACTAATAACTAACAGACAAAGAAGAGAAAATGGACATTGAAATGAATAGCAACCACCATTTTCATAGTGTTGTCCACCTAATTTCCTCTTATTTCTTTTGGTTGACTGTTACCGGTCTCTATTTGCTCTGACGTGTTCATTTTATTCTCCTTAGGTAATGTTTAAAAAAAAATTACTGAAAATTAATTGGATTGTACCGATTAAAGAGAAATTAACACTAGTTTCCAAAATAAGTCGAAAGTTTTCATGTGTTGTAAGTAACTTATTTACTAAATAATAATAGTACATATCATAAATAAATTTAATAGTTTCAGAAAGAGTGATGTGTTTGCCAATATTAAAAAAGTTAAAAAAAACAATAATAATGCTTTAATATAAAATAAATTAGAATCGATTATATGAATTTTCACTAATCAATAATTATGTGTAAACAAGAGAAAAAAAGAAAACAAGAAAGGTAACCGACGAAATAAGACATGAGGAAAACCCTGAGGGAAAACAAGAGATTGGAAAGAACAAGTCAAGAAAAAGGGGAGACAGAAATAGGGAGAATTGGTACAGACAAAAAGGTGGGGGGAGAGGGGGGAGGGGGTGTGCTTCTTGCTTTTCCACTATTGAAGGATTGGCTATTATTAGTAGCTGCTTGTATGGTGATGAATTAAATGGAAAAAATAATACCAAAAAATAAATCCAATAAAGATAAGAGGGTAGTTAATTGTATTCATTTGAAGGTTGTCTGTATTCATGTGAATTTAGATTGCGTTTGGTAAGGATAGATGCTTTTGGTGATATTTTTCATGCGTTGATGAAAAAGCTTTCAGGTATTTAGGTTGGATATTGGAGGCTCTCGCCCAGCTACATCTAGTGCTGCTTCTGCACCATCTAGTAGACGCAGGCAGAATCTTGGAGGGGATATACAATTTGATAGTTATAATCGATTGATAATCGTCCCCCACGAGGATGGGTAAGAAGGTCTTATACAAATTCTTATGTTTTGAATGTACTTTTAGATATGTTAACATTAAGGAATATTTATGTGCAATTAAAACTTTTGAAATTAAAAGATGTTTATTAATTATATAAATGTTAACTTTAATGCAGGTTTTAGCCATCCTTTCAGACTACACATTTGGTTACGGATTCTTTGAAGCCATTTTATCATGAGCCATGAACTTCTTAGAGAAAGATACCGTACATCATCAGAGAGAAAATGTGGAATCAATTTAGGGTAAAAATTAATTATATTTATTTAATAATTATCGTCTTCATCTAATGTTACTTTTTTATATTGCAGACAAGGTGTACATGACTTCCTCAGCATTAAAACGCAATAAATAGTATTTTCGAGAAAAAAGCTACTATAAGGATTAAAGATACTATGTGCGCTGCTCGGAATTCCAATAAAATGCCGGACTAGTTAAGAGAAGATGTTTGGGATAAACTTCTTGAGAAAAGGAATACCGCAGAATAGAAGGCAAATAGTGAACAAGCAAAGGCAAACCGTGCCTCTAATAAAGGTGGATCGTTGCACATAGGAGGTTCGGTTACTTTTGCGGCCCATAAACTAAGAATGGTAATTATTTATAAAAAATTTCATACTTTTACATATAGAATTTTACGTTTGTAATGTCTAACTCATACTTTTTCTTATGAAGGAAAAGGAAAGAGGGCGAGATATGAGTCACGCTGAGGTCTTCGAGGAGTTGCATAAGAAAAAGAAGAAGGATGGTACAAGAGAACACTGGGTGGAGACGTGTGCGTCAGACACATATGTAAAATTCTAACTTCATAATTTTTTATGGTTTATTAATATTTGTTTGTTTACATAATAGTTATGTTTTTCATTTCAGGAAGATTATCATAAAATGTTGGAAGAATGGCAACAAACTCAGCCTCGTTCAACTCAACCAACACCTGATGATATGGCTTCATTGTTGACAGAGACAGCGGGTGGAGCAAACAAAGGCAGAGTCTACGGACTAGGAGTACGTCGACCTACAGGTCATCCAAACCCACTCTTAGCCAATTCTTCTTCTCCTCAAAATCAAGAACAGATGGAAGATATGAGAAACGAAATTCGTGAATTGAAGCAACAATTGGACTACCAATACGGAACATTTGTTAAGATACAGAAATTCATGAGTAAACATGGACATGATTTATCTGATGATGAGGATGAACAAACTGAATCTGATGTGTAGTAGATTAGTTGTGATGTTTTGGTTGATTGGTAAACTTGATTGTGAGAGACAACTTTATGTATTGCTTTTAAACTTGAATGTGGACTACTATTTGGATGTTTTTATGCCCAAAATTGTTAGGTTTAAAGGTTGGTATTGTTGGTTTAAGTTGTGTTAATGGTTGGCATTGTAGGTTTAGATTTTGTTAATGTATTGTTAATTTAGATTGTGTTAATGTATTGTTGGGTCGTATTATTGTATTAATGTATCGTTGGTTTAGATTGTTGTTAATGTATTGTTGGTTGGTATTTTTTTATTTGTAATAGTTTGACAGGTGGCGTAGCTCGAAATTGGGCAGAATTCTGCCCAGTTTTATACAAAATTCCGACTGAATTCCGACGGAAACGGTCGGACAGCTGCCCAAATTTAACCATAAATTCTCAGATTTCTGACTGATTCGGTCATAAATTTAAAAAGAAAAATTAATATTCAGAAATTTTTGATCCGTCGGAAATTAAATAAAATTTAATTTTTAATTATTAATTTCCGACTGATTCGGTCGGAAATTATTTTCCGACCAACCAATTTCGGTCGGAAAGTAATCGGAAATACGTGATTTCCGATCGAATTCCGACCGTTTTGGCCGTCGAAAATCTGCCATTTTCTAGTAGTGTGAATCGTTGGACTAACAGAGTCTCCCAGAATTGATGTCGTGCACTCGCAATCGCGATTAACCGCTCTGATACCATGTTGAGTTTGGGGTAATTGATGAACCCTAATCGGCAGAAGAGATTTTGAAGTTGAATGTCTTAGAGAGAGAAATATTGGAAGGAAGAAATGAAATGAAATGAAAATCTTCTCTTGTACATCTGTACAGTATATTCACATACATATATAGATGATGTATCAACTAATAACAACCTAAACTAACTGACTAACTACATAATTTATTCTAGAAGATTCTACACAGCTATATGTATCTTCACTATCATATTGTATTCTCATTATGATGAGCGTTACAAGCCAAGTTTAATTACAATAAAACAATTTTGAGATTTTCATTCCGTCCTCTCCCAACCATGCTCCCAGCAAAAGGAGGAGATGGAAAATGGGGCCTAGTAACTATTTATTCTTTTTTTTTTAAAATTTATTTATTTATTTATATTTAACTCTTCTGGATGAAAATTTTGGTTCCGCTAGCAGAAAAGTGAGGTTCAAAATTAATGAGAAGCAAAACAATAAGCTTCTTTCCTTCCTCTTTCTCTTACGCTAAATTACCCTCCCTCAAATGATTAAAATAATTAAAAACAAAAGGGCAACTAGTGAAGGTGCTAATCTTGGTCAATGGCAGTATTTAGTTGGCCACTTGCAAATTCAAAGTTGGATTTCTTTCTTTTAAAGTTGGTCTTGCAGCCGGGAAAATAAAAAGGATAGGCGGCGCCTCACGTAAAAGCTGGATTCCAAAGATCTATTAATAGTCAATTAAAGAACTCATTTGGCAACAAAAAAAAAAAAAAATTCTTTGCGATCATATTATTTGTCTTAAGATTTTTAACCTCATTTAAAAATGTATGGAATAACCTTAATCAGAAAAGTATTTATTATCAATTACTATTTATCAAATAGAAATTACTACTATTTATTAGAAAAATCACTGTATTTGATACGCCATTAATTGGAACAGAAGATATGAAAAGAGTAAGATGATAATTATTATTTAATACGTAACCGTTAGTATTTAATACCGAAGGGGTGTACCTAGTTGAATTCATTAAAATCTAATGCACCATTTGATAAGGATGATAATTGGCTGAATTTGCTAGGCTTGATGACTAAGCTGCAAATCAGAACGCAATGGGATGAGCTTAGAATTAGTCTTTTATTATTTCAGTTACGAGATCCAATTAAAATTCGACATAAGTGGCACGTCAGCGACACATCTATCCCTAATCTAATCTTACGTGAACTTGTTCATCTATATCAAAGTGACAATGTAATATCTTGTATCTTGTTTATAGGCGTTTTGATCGTTATCCTTTGAATAGTTTATCACTCCAATTGAAAATTTGTTATTAGGTATTCGTGGATGTCCTCAAAAAATTTCAGGAAAAGAAAATAGAAATTAATCTGGATTATAGTTAGCAATCTTATCAAATTTCAATTGTAAAGACCCACAATAATATTTCAAACTAGGTTGCTAATAAGTAATAACAACGAAACAAACGGCAGTATCTGTTATAAACTATTATTTAGATGGAGAAATAAGTAAACCAAGATTTGCTACCCTGCTTTTCTTTTTTAAGAAATTTCGAATTACAATTTAAACCTAATTCTTTTTAATGTAACTTCTACTATTCGGATTGATTTCAAACCGCCTAATTAAGGATTTAAAAAAGTGTCTCCTAGTCACCCGATTAACAGGTGAAACAGGGTGAATACATCTTTTTTGAAAGTGGTGATATTCTTTTTCCTTAAGCAAGTTATAAAGGTGACTTAAATGATAAACTCAATTATGAATAAGGTTTAATTTTCATCTAGTTTCTTCCTTATTCTCCCAACAGATCTTGATTAATTACTTACAGCAAGCTCCACCTTCATTTCTTTTGATTAAACTTAAAAATTGAGCTTTCTTTGTATATGGTACTCCATAATTTTCTCTTTCTAAAAATTCAAAATAAAATTAATATTATATATTCCGTACTTTTTGTTAGGTGTTTGTCCTGATTTTCTTACCATATTTAGTTTTTCTATCTCTTAAAGGAAATGCAACATATTTACGATAAATGACTTTTCCTTCTTATAAAAGGAAATTATGAATATTTCATATTTGGCTAGTCCCTTTTCTTGTAGTAAAATATTTTTGAATTATAAAGTGAGGATTGTTCTTTCTCATTCAGTAGCATCCAAAATATAGCCATATGAGGTTTGAGAGTCGTGTTTAGGGAGAGAACTTTACATGACAAATGTTAGTATGTCACTTATGTTTGCTTCTTCGTGATATTGTTCTCTTTGTATTTTGTACTTTCTTTTATATAGTGGATGACTCATCTCCACCGTGGACGTAGTCAATTGACCAAACCATGTTAAACATTTGTGTCTACTTTGGTATATTTCTTTTTTTTTGTCTTATATATCATCATTGAAGATATATTTTGCTAGCTTCTACATGATACCTAATTAAAAATATTGGTATAACATCTTTTCATTGAATCTAGTCTTTTCGTATTTTAAAAATTATTAACTTAGTACAAGACAAGTTAGGTTTGTTTAACCAATAGATCAAGTGTTCAATTTTTCCAGCCTTCCCGGGGATCTGAATTATTTTTTTTTTTAAAAAAGCAAAGATTTTATAGCAAAAGGACAAAAAGAGTGGGGACCAAACTCTCAAATTCAGCTTTTACAGGTCCACCACTTTATTACAAAGAACGTGAAGGTTCCGCCGGCAAGCTAGGAATCTAATAAGATCCTCTTGTCATATGATAAGGACATATGTCCACTTTTCTAACATAAGATTCCGTATCGTTTCGATTCTGGAGCCAGCTTATGAAATTAAAATATTCATTTTTGTGGGCAAACATATTTCGTTTTCAAGAATCAAAACAAAACAGAATCTCTAACTAAGGTCATTTTATCTTACAGCAATTTTACGACGGGTTCTACACCACATGAATATTGGCACTGAGGGGCATATATATTCTTATCCTCAAATATATATATATATATATANACAAAAATTCAAAAATTTATTTACACAATTCAGAATGAAAGAAAATAAAGGCTGTAAAATATATATTCCATGCACGTAAAATTAAAAATAATTATTTAAATAAATATATTTTTATAATATACATTATATGTTCTTGAAAATTATGCTCAATTATATTATATATATTCCATGCACGACTTAACATAGCATATTTTACCCTATACAGATGGCCCCCCTGCTTTCCGGTGATATAACTTTGTATCATCGGAAAGTTGGTAGAAACATAATAATATAATTGAGCATAATTTTCAAGAATATATAATGTATATTATAGAAATACTTTTATTTAAATAATTTTTTTTATATTACGTGCATGGAATATATATTTTACAACCTTTTTTTCCTTTCATTCTGAATTGTGTAAATAATTTTTTGAATTTTTGTTGCTAATATTAAAAATTTAAAAAGTTAAAAAAAATAAAAAGAAGATAAATGTTTATAATTTAGTGGGTAAAATAGGTATTTGGCAATCCAAAATTTGAAAAATCTAGTTGAGTAACCTTCTGAGTGCAATAAGCATAGTTCAGTGACTTTGTTGTTACAAACGAAAGAAAAGTGACTTTAGGAGATAATTTGGGATAGTTGAGTGATCATTTGAGTAATTGACTCCAATGATTTAACATGATACAGGCTCCCGATACCAATTGTTAGAATCAAAAAATACTTTAAAGATGAACACCGTCATCTTTTACCCAAGAACTATCATAAAATCATCAAGAATAAATACTAGGTGCGGAAATGTACCTGAATCCATGAGCACGACAGAGTCTCTCAACTTTTCCAACGACGAGATATTAGAAAAGAAAACCGTACGTCTGACTTGGGTACCATAACCCATTCATAGTCGTACATGTTTATGTAATTCTAATTTAGCCCATCATTAATTTAGAAGTTACATCCGGAGGTACACATAAGACCCCATACTTTAGGAGGTGTCTTATAGACTCATTTAGCTTTAAACCTTACCAGACCACTTTTAATTTGGGTCAACTTTTTAACGATAGCAACCAACATACAATTATTCTTAATACAAAATATATGTGTAAGTCCGTAAACTCTTACAAGTTTGAGTTGCCAATTGGTTTCGAGGCCTGAGAATGGAAAAAAATACTGGTAGGAGCCTACGGGCTTATTCAGCGGGAATCAGAATTAATCGGGCTTGACTGTGGGTACTGAACACCTATTAAGAAAAAAAAGTTGCCAATTGAGACTTGTTTGTGAAGGAAAATTGCCAGATAAAATTCAGAACACATATGATTGGCCTTTGCTGAAAACTCAAGGACAATCAGTGGCGGACACACGTAGTGATAACCGGGTTCAACTTAACCCGCTTCATCCAAAAATAATACTGTGTATATATATAAATTACGATTAAAGCTGCGTAAATTTTGTATAAATATTTTATTTGAACCCACTTGACAACTACTATTTTACGACTAAAGTTATGTACTTCTAAGATTGAACCCGCTTGCACAAAATCCTGAGTCCGCCACTGTCTCTATGTCATTTCTTACCTATTCATGAGCTAGTTTACACATGTATGGTTTCTGGACTATTGAGAATTTCTCGTCTTTGAGTTAGCGTTTGGACATAGATTTAATTGAAACTTAAAAAAAAAAATTAAAATTGTATTAAAAAATAATTTTTGAAATTTGAAATTTTGTTTAGACGTGCATTTTATTTGAAGAAAAGTTGAAGTTTTTGTGAGTGGGAACTTTGAATTTTTTTTCTCAAAACATGACCATAGTTCATAAACTAATAATGTTTTCAAAGAAATTGAAAAAATAAAGGCAAAATCTATTGCCAAACGGGAGCTAAATTCCGTTGGTTAGGTTTTCTGAATTATCATACCTTGCTATTATTATCTTAGTAATGGAAGTCTTTTGTTGGAGCCCATGAAGCAATATACAAGGTTAAAATAGCACGGTCTAGCCAGTTTTCGGATTGGTCATTCAAAAATAGCCAGCGTTTACCAAGTCAATAAAAAATAGCCACTATTTTGCTGCAACAGAGACCGGTCCAGCATAATATACTGGAGTTCGGTGCACCTGTGTATGAACTTCCAGCATATTATGTTGGAACTCCAACACACGAAAAGTTCCAGCATAATATACTCGAGATTCGAGCACTTGTGTATGAACTTCCAGCATATTATACTGGACCATTATACTTTGCTGGAACTCCAGTATATTATGCTGGAGTTCTAGTGTACTTATGCTGGAACTCCATTATAATATGCTGGAGTTCCAGCATACTTATCCTGGAACTCCAGTATAATATGCTGGAGTTCAAGTATACTTATGCTGGAACTCCGGCATAATATACTGGCGTATTTTCCGAGTTTCGAACAGTGTTTTCGCTCAGATTTATCTTTACATGAAAAGTGGCTAAATTTCGATTACTTTTGAAACTGGACTATTTTTGAACGACCACTTGTAAATCTGGCTATTTTTTAATTTCTCTCATATACAAGCCTAACGAAGGAGAGGCCCACTTGAAGAAACTCAAGCTGATGAAGCCTCCTTAGTAGACCCGGTTTCTTTTTATTTAACTCTTTACCCGACCCGGATTGTATAAATATAAATATAGACTTTCATATTATTTTGTACAGTTTTTACACATTAATAAAATTATTCTGTTTAGATCATGCTCTTCTATCTCCATACTCACATTTTGTCTTAGGGTTTCTCTTGTGAATTTTACATGGGTTCACGAGGAATTCGAGCGTTTTCATTTTTATGCCTTCTCTTGCATATTCATGGGCTTTTATGTTTATAGTCTCCGGAAAATATTGCTAAAACCTTTAATAAGTAGTATGCTTCTTTTGCAAAATAAATTAATAGCCTGAAATCAGACAAACCTTTCCACTCTTATAGTTGCTTAGAGCTCTGCTAGAACGGCAAATAGAGGTGCAAGCAAAGTTCTTGAATATTTCCTCAACTAGCAGAAAGCTTGTCCTTTTAAAGAAAATTCAAAAGGAAGTACAGGACACGCATTAAGATAACTCAAAAATAACTAGAGAAAATTATTCAACATAACTGTTTACCATTTGAATAATCGAAAATGACTTACGTATATTTTATTTTCAGGTCTTTTATGTGAAAAAATCAAAATCTCTTGAATTTTTTTATATTAAACTAAAAATATTGTAATGGACCATAATACCTTTTGACCCAAATTATTACTACTACTATCTAACATTTTGGCATCTCTCCGTTAACTATTAGCAAGTGAAATGCATATAATCCTACTATTTCAAATACTTTGAAGTATAAAGGAGTAGAGTTTGATGGAAGTCAAAACTATCCCTATCGTTTGCTAAATGATTTATAAATACCCCCGTCCATTTATCCGTTCAAAAAATACATTCGGTCCATCTATCCGTTCAAAAAAACACACGAAGTTAATTCCATTAACAAAAATACCCCTGCGACTAACGGCAGGATGGACGGAGTGTGTTTTTTTGAACGGATAGATGGACGGAGGGTATTTATAAACCATTTAGCAAACGATAGGGATTTTTGACCAAAAATCAAATATGGGTCTTATTTTTACCCATTTACCTGGTCCGACCCTATTTATTTGACCCGCCTAATTATTTTCTTTATTTTTCTTTGCTTTTTTTTTCCTCTCTTTTTCCTTATCACCCAGCACACCCACTCTTATCTCACAAATCATTTTTACCATTTCTTTGTTGAAACAAATCTTTCTTTGTGTTTGAAAATATGGCTTTGGCTTTCACTTCATCTGCAATTCATGGCTCTTTGTCCTCCTCTTCTTCTTCTTATGAACATCCCAAAGGTAATCCTTTACTTTTTTGTTTTACCTTTTATAGATTCAATCTTTATCCTAGAATGTGATAATTTCATGCTTTTTAGCACCTTAGTTTCAATTTTCTTGTGTGCTTGTATCAGTTATATGTAGTTATTTTTTCTCTGTTATTTCGTGGCTCTTTTTTCTTCTTATTAACAATCCAAAGATTTCCATTACTTGTCCCTTTCAAAGTTTCAATATTTCTCCTAGATTTGATTGATATATTTGAACAATTTTAGCATTTGGGCTCAATTTTTTTGTTTCAGATTTTTGGTTTGTTTTGATCCTTGTCTTCTTACTTAACAACCCAAATGTATTTGTTGATTTTCCATTTTAAGAGTTTCAATACTTATCCTGAGTTTGATTGGAGAAATTTCAGAATCTGGTTTGAATTTCGGGTTATTTGATTTTGGGTTTTATCTATTCTTTAATTAATTTGTTATTGTGTGTATGCAGTGTCCCAATTGGAGAAGAAGAAAGGGGGAGATCAGATGAGTGGGAATGGGTGTGATAGATACTACCCATTTTTGTAAATTGGTCGGATAAGGTAAATGGGTTGAAATAATATCCATTTTTTATTCCAGTCAAAGATTGCCACGTGGCCCAATTAAAATATCTATCGTTTGCTAAATGATTTATAAATACCCTCGTCCATCTATCCGTTCAAAAAAACACACTCCGTCCATCTTGCCGTTAGTCGCGGGGGTATTTTTGTTAATAGAATTAACTTCGTGTGTTTTTTTGAACGGATAGATGGACGAAGTGTATTTTTTTGAACGGATAGATAAACGGAGGGTATTTATAAACCATTTAGCAAACGATAGGGATAGTTCTGGCCCTTTTCCATTCTAACTATAACTGCAAAAGGGAAAAGTGACGTGATTCAAGCCCTTTCCTGGAAAAGGGTGCAAGATATGGAAAAAGGGTGTTCTTTGGTCTGCAGTCTGGATCGAAAATAAAGTCAACTGATTACTCATATTATAACAACAACAACAACAACAATAATAACAACAACAACATACCAGTATAATCCTAGGGTGGGGTCTGGGAGGGCAGAGGCGGACCCAGGATTTAAGCCTTACGGGGGCACCATTGTTTTTAGTATGCCAATCACCAACAATAAAGTTCGGGTGTAACTCTTTGAAATGACTATGATAATTTATCATCAAAATAAAAATATCAATATTATCAAATACCATTAACTTGATACTAATATAACAAAAGTATATTGTCCACTCATAGTTGAACTCGACGCGTTTTCATATTTTGAAAACGGTCAATAATAGTATCATTGCTTATATTTACAAACACTTCCTTCTCAAAGTAACAAACTAAACAATCATATAAAAATGCATCACCAATACTACTACGCAATTCATCTTTGATGTACTTCATAGATGAGAATGCTCTTTCCACCGTTGCAGTTGCGACAGGTAAAATTAAAGTCAACTTCACAAGCAAATAAACAAGTGAATAAGTCTCCACATGATTTGTCTCAACCAATGCTTTCGCCAAATCACCAATATAAGTCCTTTCAAATCAGAGAACCTAGGGTCACCATGTTGCATATGCCATATGAAAGTGTCAAGTTGGCGACTAAGATCTCGAAGCTTCAATTCACCAAACTCATCGGGATAATGCTTGGCCAATGTCATTATTCTTTCCTTATCAAAATTAGCAAATGAGTTAGCCGGATTCAAGCTAGCCATACCAAGAAGCAGGTTACTACTCACAACATCAAAACGACTATTAAGCTCCAGAAGTTGCAAATCAATCACGGCATAAAAAAGCTCAACACGTAAGTGATGTGAATAAGTAACACTAGAAGGCCTACGCTTCGACTTTCCAGGAATATAGAATTCTTCCATCTTGGGCACCAAAATATCATGTTTTGCACAAAATAAATATACTTCATTCATCAATGGTTCCCATCCTTTATCTCTCATTTCTTGCAACCTTTCCTTTGTGATATCAAGAAATACCATGGCATTGACAATATCTTGATCTTTCTTCTGTAATGCTTTGCTCAACTCGTTTGACATTATCAACACTTTCAACATTAAGTGAAGCAAGAAAACAAATTCAAATGCTTTAATTTTACTCGAAAAAGCTTCTGCTTGCAACCTATCATTAACATCACCTTCACATTCAATCACCCCAAGCACATGAACAATAGAAGAAAATAAAATAACAAAGTCATCCAATGTTTTACAATGTGATCCCCAACGAGTGTCACCTGGCCTTTGAAGCCCCCGCTCTTGATTTAATCCTTTCCCACTTTGAACTTCACCACTCTCTAACAATTGCTCCAACAATTCTGCTTGATGATCCTGAAGTTGATCTCTACGCTTAAAAGAAACTCCAACTATATTCCACACATTAGTAACAATAGCAAAGAAAGTCTCAACCTCCTAGTGTTTTTTAGCAACAGCTACAAGCGTCAATTGTAATTGATGTGCAAAACAATGAACAGAATATGCCCATGGAGTTTCTTGCAAAATTAAGCTTTAAGGCCATTCATCTTTCCCTGCATATTACTAGCCCCATCATAGCCTTGTCCACGTATTTTGGATGGACTTAATGAGTGTTTCATTAGCAAAGAAAGTACTGCTTCTTTCAACGACTTTGCAGATGTATCACTAACACGAACAAGACTAATAAATGGCTCGTTCACTTGGCCTTTTTTGTCAACATACCGCAAAGCAAAGGCCATTTGTTCATGGTGTGAAATATCCTTGGACTCATCAGCTAATATCCCAAAATAATCTCCACCCAAGTCATCAATTATAGCTTTCACGGTCTCTTGTGCACAAGAACTCACAATATCCTTTTGAATTTTTGGCGAAGTCATCATATCATTTTTTGGAGCATGTTTTGGGTTTAGAAGAAATAACCTGATGTCAAAGAGAGAGAAAAGGGAGTAGGCTTGTATTTTTAACATATGAAATTTGTTTTGGGTTTAGAAGAAATAACCTGATGTCAAAGAGAGAGAAAAGGGAGTAGGCGTGTATTTTTAAACTTTGAACGGAATTAAGATTCAATTAAAGGTCTGACCGAATGAGACCCAATCAAAAAAAAATTGAGTGTTGGATCTGAGTTTCGAACCCGGCTCTTGAAGAAGGCAGCTACTCCCACAAAACAACTCTTCTATCCAGTCTTTGTGACTGAGGGTGCCGCATAATATATTTATAGGGGTCCTCCCTGTATTAACTTATATATATAGAATATATATACAATATTTTTACCGAGGCCAACGGGTGCCCGTGACCCCCCACCCCCTAGCGTAGGTCCGCCCCTGTGAGAGGGTATTGTGTACGCAGATATTACCCCTTCCTGAAGAGATAGAAAAGCTGTTTTCGACAGATACTCGGCTGAAAATTACTCATATTATAGTTCACTAAAAGAAGGTTCCTAGCTCAAGATATCAACATTAGTGGTTCACTTTCCCGTAAAAAGGGTGTGCAAGATATGGAAAACGGTGTGCTGTAACATGGAAGTATTTTCTTCAACATTTAAGCCAACTGATTAGTGTTATAATTCTAAAAGGATAAAACTTGACAGTCAAAGAACTATATTTTGACTCCACCTCAGGATATGATTGTCGTGGTTGTTCACTTGTCTAGTGTAATTCTAACCTCCTACTGGTTAAAATTTGAATTATTCCATCAACTGTGCGTTATTTGCCCACTCATTGGCCAAGTGGGCTAATTTTCGCCTATAAGAACAGTCGAATGTTTCTTTTCGAAGACAAATTTAGCTCCAGCTACTGGGGACAGAGTTTAAATAGTGTCCTCAGGAAAGGCCATTTTTGCAAATTCCCCGTAGTTAAAGGTATGAAAGTTAAAGGGAAAATGATACTGTATAGCCGCTCTTAAAATAACAGCAAAAAAAAAATATTTTTTGTATATATATACATTTTGTATGTTATATACAAATTTTATACATTTTAAGGCTACCGAATATAAATAATTTTTAGTGAGGGCTAAAAGTAAAAAAGCCCAAAGTTAAATCTTTATACCATGGGCTCCCCTACTCTAAGCAGGAACAAGAGCAATATGTTTTGCTCATGCTGGACATGTATTACTGGGCTTTCCCCAATTAAATTCAAAAAATTACAGGAATATGACACTTTTGGTGTCCTCTTTAATTTTTGACCCTTGCTTAGCCTATGGACGGAACTTAAAGTATTTCCAATGAGGCAAACGAGGGGTAACACTTGTTAAACTTGATGTTCTGCCCACGAGAAAAGCGAAAATAAAAATAAGACCAATCACTTTTAGAGCTATTTGTGTACTTCACCCTATTTAACACGGGGGAACTTATATAATTTACCCATTTATAAAACTCACTTTCATGATATACCTAAAATTTGAAATTACATCAAATATCCCAATACACTACAAAAAGACAGTGAATTTGCGGCGGTTATATCTTGCGTATTACGGCGGTCTATAACCGCCACTAGCACAATTAATGGCGGCTAGTGAAAACGCCGAAATCGAAGGCGCCACAAAGTTGATATGGCAGTTTTCCAAAATCCGCCGATTGAATAAAACATAAAGTGGCGGTTTTATGTGTTTAAACTAGCGGTTTCAGCTCGCCACAATTATATAATTGGATATCTCTGAAACTGTGGCGGTCCAAACCGTCGTAATTATCCTCACAGCCCGTTTCTCTTCAATTTATAATTCTTTTTCACATTTTTTACATTCCATTTTACACCATGTCCTACGCTATCAAACTTATGTATTACTTTATAATAGTTTTGACACAAATATAAGGGGAAGATCAACTAAATAAATCATTCATCGTATATAAAAAGAATAAGCATTTCAAAATTACATCATAAAATGTAACTAAATTTCAAGGAGTAATATTTTACATTCCATGAGAAAAATAATTCTGGCAAATCCTAAACTTGTTCTTTGTTATTTCCATGTGGTGTACTTCTTGGGTTGTCAGGTGATGATACAATTTTGCTACATCCAGTGCCTACAAAATAAATCAAAACAACAAGCAATAAGTTACACAAAAGGATCAAGATACAAACATATATGTGTATATATATACACACTAGTTACAATTCTCGAGCATAATAGCATCAACAATTTCCATATAAAGCACCAGCTGTTATAACTAAGTGTTGTAACTGAAAACATAAAAAAAATTTCTTACCAAGAACTAAGTGTTGTAACTGAAAACATAAAAGAATTTTCAGCAGCAGAGCAAAAATGCCGAAGAATTCCTGGTGTTAATCCTGGTGTTAATTGAATATATTTGTGATTTGTACAGTGATAATTCACCAAAATATAAGGTAATTGAAACATAAGGCCAGACATATATGACTTGCCTCTTATCAAGTAAGATCTTGAGTAGCTTGAGTGTCACATGAATAGTGGCAGTACCATCCAAAGCTGAAGAGGATAAAGAAACATGATCAAAAGTATACTCGTATCTGCACATCCAAGCAACCACAGGGGTAAGTTCACCATAATTTCTAATAATAAATAAATTTGTAAGAGTCCTTTAAATATTTAACCTCTTCAGGTAAAATCCCTGAGAATTCAGTAATTAACAGCAAAAGAGTTCATGAAATAAGGTTATATGCGACAGGTTAATCAGTTAGTAGCTTGCATTAAGACTATTAGCACCAACCTCCGAATATTATTCTAAACAGAAATACCCGAAGTTTAATTTGCTAACCTTCTTTTGAGGCAGGAACAGAGTCTCTTATTGTGAGAGCACCCTCCCTTTGAAACGTGTTATAGGCACACCTTTTTTATCTGCTTGACAAAAAATTATGTTCTTTTGTCCTGAACGTGTTATAGGCACACCTTTTTTTATCCCCTAACATCTACATTCATGCAATGCAAGCAGTTTTACAAACAAACTACACCTCTTCTCCCAAAAGATATAAGCTGAAAGGCAACATTACATAATTTTGTGGGGAGACCAATATTTGCTAAAAAGTAACATTGAATATTAGATAAAAGGGATATCATCGTTAGACTACTTTGTGACCTCATATGATGTATGAGAAATCATAATCTTCTTCACAGAAGAAGGAACAACATACATAGTATTACACTTTAATTGGACCCAGGAATAGTTAAGATTAAAAGTGTACGCAGGACACAAACAACAAAAAAATGAAGACACAAAAGAGGAAAGAGAACGTATTTACCTTGGAGCACAAACACAAGCGAGACTCGCAAAGCCTCCGCAAGACAATTTGCAGCCTCGTATGTCCAAAGTGCCCGAGCTGCATCCGCAACATTATCTACAAGCTAGAGAGCTATCAGATTATAAATAAGCATCATCACCAAACCTCCAAACGGCAACTCTGGATTTAATTTTCCACCAATAGAGTAAAAATCCAAGAAATCAAGATAGCAAAACCATGGATATCACCTAAAAGACCCCAACAATACATACACCAGCTAATAAACTTCAATTAGCATTAATAACCAAATCAAAACAAAAAGGACCACTAATGACAAAAATCCAACATATGTTGCAGGCCTTCATCTGATAAAAATCCCTTACTAAATAGTTGTCACGACCCAATTCCCAAACCCGGTCGTGATGGCGCCTCTCGTAAAGATAAAGCCAGCCAACAGAACATCGATACCTCTTTAATAGTTACTTAGCATGAATAAGTCTAAAACATTAATAAAATTATCATAAGTGCGGAAGAAAAGTGATAAAACAGGGAACCATCCCGACACAGCCCGAAATCGGGGTGTCACAAGTCACGAGCTACTACAGAGTTTACTAGAATTCTACAAAGTCTGGAACTAGGAACAAAGTCTGAAGATAGTGTAAATACAGAAGATAAGGGAGAAAACGGGGCTGTGGACGTCGACAGCTACCTCGTCACTCCTAGTCCGCCTGGTCTGGAAGGAATCAGTGCTCAGGAACGAAGTCAGCTATGCCTGTATCTGCACACACGGTGCAGGGAGTAATGTGAGTACTCCGACCCAGTGAGTAATAAAAATAAATAATGACTGAAAGCATGAAATCTCATGATACACAAATAACGCTATCTCAAGCAGTAAAATCAGTTAAGCATTAAAACAGTAAAGTATCAAATAATTCTCTTTTAAAACAGTTAAAGACAAATATTTTCAACAAGTAAGCAATAATCAGAAACCTGCCCCTCGGGCTCAATATCAAGCTCTCAGTACAGTATCAGCCCCGCGGGCTCAATATCAGTCACACAGTACAACATCAGCCCCTCGGGCTCACTCTCAAATCACATGGGTACCCGCACTCACTGTGGGGGTGCAGACTACGGAGGGGCTCCTACAGCCCAAGCGCTATATCATCATAAGGCCTGAAAGCCTGTACATATCAACATGAGGCCTGAAAGCCTTCTCACATTACACTCGAGGCCTGAAAGCCTCCTCACATATGGCCCTCGACCTCAATCAGTCCAAAAATAATCATAAGCCCCTTGGGCATCAGTATAACGAAAATGCTCAGCTCAAACACTAATTCAAATATCATTTAAATCTCAAAGTTGAGTAAAAATATAGCTGAGTTCATGAAACAGTGTAATTCAACTGGACTGAGTTCAAATATATTTCAAATAGTGAGGAAATAGTGATGATAGCTCACAAGGAATTTCAAACAGTCGGCAATAAGCCCCAAGTATGGCAATAAGCCCAAGTCATAGTGAAAAACAACAAGTCATAGTCAAATACGCGGTAAAGTATCAACCGGACTGGACCAAGTCACAATCCCCAATAGTAAATGACCTCGCGCTCGCTATTGAACGCGTGTCTCATCTCAACATAGCACTACGTTGTGCAAATCCGGGGTTTCAAACCCTCAGGACATCATTTAAAATCATTACTCACCTCTAGCCGGCCAAAAGTCTAGCTCGCTATGCCCTTTCCTCTCGAATCGACCTTCCCTTGCGTCAAGTCTGATCAAAACCACAAGGAATACGTTACAATAGGCTAAGGGAACACAACTCAATCGAAAAATATCGAAAAATCACGAGATTGGCAAAACCCGAGCCCCGGGCCCACTTCTCGAAAAATCAGAAAATTCACATCATCGGATTCCTTATCTCGCCACGAGTCTATACATATCAAATTTACAAAAATCCGAGCTCAAATGCACCCTCAAACCCCAAATTTTAATTCAAAAAGTCAAGCCCTAATTCTTCCCTTTTTAATCAAATTTCCATGAATTTAAGTGTTGAATCCACAATTAAATGATGTTTCTAGGCCATAAGACTCACCTCCAATCGATCCCAGTCGAAAACCTCTTTAATCCTCGTCAAAAAGCTCTCAAGGTTGTTCAAAAATGGAGGAAATAGACTAAGCTTCACGGATGAAATAATATAAAAACCCTTCTGCCCAGGTGCCAATTCCTTCTACGCGAACGCGAAAGACTTCTCGCGTTCGCAATGCCCAAAAATATCACTGACCAAATTAACCCTTCGCGAACGCGGTGTACATCCCGCGAACGCGAGGCTTCAGCGGGCTCCACTATGCGAACGCGTCCCATTGACCACGAACGCGATGAATAAAGTCGGCAGGACCCCAGGCCCCTTCTACGCGAACGCGAAGCCATACTCGCGAACGCGATGGTCCAAAATATAGCCTTCCGCGAACGCGATGGACCACCCGCGAATGCGAAGGCAAAACATGGCCTGCACAGCTGCTGCATATTTCTGCTGCAAATTCTAAGTTCAAATCTTCCCGTTTAGCCATCCGAAATCACCCCGAGGCCCCCGGGACCTCAACCAAAAGCTCAAACATGATCCAACACCTTATTCAAACTTGCTCGAATCATCAAAACACCACAAATAACACCTAAACCATCAAATTACATCAAATTCAAGCCTAAGTTCATCCAAATCTTCCGAAACTCGCATTCGATCAAAAATCCAACCAAAACACATCCGAATGATCTGAAATTTTGCACACACATCCAAAATCACCTAACGAAGCTACAACAACTCTCGGAATTCCATTTCGACCCTCGGATCAAAATCTCACCTACCAATCGGAATTCGCCAAAATACTAACTTCGCCAATTCAAGCCTATTTCTACACCGGACCTCCAAAATCAATTCCGATCACACTCCTAAGTCACAAATCATCCCCCGAAGCTAATCGAATCACCGGAAATCACATCCGAGCCCTATAACTCATAAGTCAACCTCCGGTTGACTTTTCCAAACCAAGCCTTCCTTAAAGAGACTAAGTGTCTCATTTCCTACCAAAATCAATCCAAATCAACTCTAACACACCAATTACTGATAATGAAACATGAAGGAGCATAAAACGGGGGAAACGGGGCGGTAACTCCTGAGACGACGGGTCGGGTCGTCACATCCTCCCCAACTTAAACAAGCGCTCGTCCTCGAGCGTACCCAGAGTTGTCCTAGAAGCCAACCCATAGCTGAATGACCTTACCAAGCATATACCCGGGGTGATTCCACGTCACCCTATCTCGCATAGGTCTGATAACACAACATAGCTGAAATTTCACAATCCATCTAGTCCATAAACCATAGAACCACATTGCATTTTCCGAAATCACACAAGATCAGAACCTCACATCTATACTCAGAATAAGCCCGAACCAGCTGTAATAACCCATACCTGCAACCTCATGTGCAATCATATGATATACTACATAACCCAAACACTCGAAACGATAACTTCTATTCACGGCAGTTGCCCACAACACCCGAATACCGGTAGAAAACCTCTTATCAACTAAGGTCTTATTCCAACACTTTCATGCACTGCCAACGATAAATAAAACACGCAATGAACCGTAACCATTTCTCAGATCAACCATTCATGAAGCCACTTCCCTTTTGGCTAATACCACCGCAGATTCCGAGCCGAACCTCGATATTATCCTTCCAACAAGCTGAAATCAAATTCGTTCGTATTCATTAGTGACCCCAACGATCACCTCGAATCCAACACACCACTCTGGTGATATGACACCTCTATACAGGCCTAAGCCACAACTTGCATAATACGCGCACCAATAAGAAACGGTCTGAACATACTCAAATCATGAAAAAAAATGACTCAAACGAAAGAGCTGTACCTCAAGCTCATCAGTACCATCACAACACAAGGCTGAGACCCCGTCTCACATCATAGAAATAGAACACCTAAATCTACCCCGAAAGGTCATATCTCCACGTGGCCTCGCTACAATGCGCGATCCTATCCAAACACTGTTACACATCCTCGAGTCACTATGCTCAAAATCGACAACCACGCACAATTTGATGTCTGGAACCAAAGCAATTCATTACACCCACGGTGAAACAAATAACATACGCCACGCAACCCGATAGGTCATAACCAATTCTCCATTTACCGAGCAACACCCAATTACTCTTCCCGCTCGACTTTCACTATGAATCCCCAATAGAACCGCACCACATGTGCCCATAGCCAACAAATCATAACGTCTCACAACACCAAAAAGCAACTCATAGCTCTCCTCAGATCACTAACAAGCTCAATAACGATCGGATCAACCTATCCCTCAACAATACAATTCGGGGCCAACCAAGCCAACTCAAGCTAAACACGTATCCACATCGGCCTACAAACGAACTCATTACCAAGAAAGCCTGAAGTTGCTCCTTCCACTACTATAACTCCTGCCGGAGCCGTACGATACGGTGCCCGGCACCAAATCAATATCGAAATCCACAACCTCGCCCGGCGACATGCCCGGCCACAAGAAACGCATCCGAAAAGTCCCTTAACACCGGAACGGAACCAATGGTAGGAACCTATGCACTGACATCCATCACGAAGGCCCAATTAAGAAAAGCAATCCTTCCCAACCGTCCGCTGGGTCTTTGAAATATAAACCACTCTACAAGAACATAATCCAATGCACCTCGCCACTCAACTCGTGGCATTTCCGGCATAGCCCGTAGCGCAATAGTTCAGAATCACCTAACACTGAGACAACCAGTCTACATCCCAACATCATATCCGAATCTAACATACCACATCATAGCCTGAATATGAGAACTTCCGCCTCCACATACACCCAGCACATGAATCATCATATTCGACCCCAATTTCGCCTTCCGAACACATGCCACACCTTTAATACCCAATCATTCCACGATAGATAGTCTAAAATTTCCCTATGCCACCAAGCAGACCCGAATACCACCAGTCGACCCAACAAGAAAGTGCCACAATACTACCGGAGTATCATCAATTTAATCACAATACCCTTTTTCCGAGACAAATACCCTCGTCAAATCACTTCCCCTTTTTTTTGCAGTACCATTTCCTTGATTACCCGAGGCTACTCGTTGCCTAAGAATTTTATGAACTTCTTTTCAGAACTGAACTGTAACTCATCTAGCCAAGAACTTCCACTGATCCCATTCGGAAGAAAATCATTACACATCCCATGCTCTGCATGCCCATAGAAATTATACATCTCCAAACCACAGTAAAACCCAACGAGAACCCTCTCCCAATTTCATTTGCACAAGCTAAACTGCCAGGACTGAATCCTTCTATCCAAACCAAGCTAAGCAAGCTGTCGGAACTCAAGAGTTCTGCTGCAAAATACCTGTAAGGGCTCATTACCTCGAACACATATAAAGAAATTAATCACATCTTTACCATACCGATTCGGTCTACTATCAAGATATTCCATCTATCTAATTTCCCTTCTGATTCATCATCCACTTGATATTCCCCTTGCTGTAGCACCACAATGCCTCAACCCAGGCTTACCACACGAGACCCAAGCATAAGACCACACTGTCTAAGACCCATGAGTCACTGAACACTCTCTCAAATATTCCCAAAAACACCACATCCCCAAAATAATCTACTCTGAAAAACTTCCTGCGAGTCTAAATCCGTTACCTTTACTTTCCACGTGC